TATTAATTAAACACGCCCTCGATTTTATTTTAGGTTTACCCAGTAAATATTTACAAGTAGTTAATAAATTGTTACAATGGGGAAATCCTATTGGGTATTATGGTATAAGGCCCCTAGTATTGGTGTTTTCATATAAAAGTTAAGATGATAAAAGTTAAAATATTGATCAAAACTATTGATCAATATATTAAAAATTTATCATTCATTTTGTTATATATCACGCTCATATGGCTAAAGAAGCTTAAATAAACACTGCAAAAGGGTGTGTCAAGTGTACTTGAATTATATTGGCTAATCAAATACACTATAGTCTAGTTTTAGGGTTGTTTATTTTGCGAGGCTTTGTAGCCGTCAATAGATAAAAAGTGACGGCACCTTGTACTGACATTACGCTGTTATTCAGAACAGCGTTTCACACAATTGATGATATTATTGATTAATTATAATATCAGTGGACGTAATTTGATTGGCTAATTATGCGCGTGCATTATAACGCCATAGGGCCTGTCTTGTTTTTGACTCACGGATGCTGCAAAGCAAGTGAGTCCGGCTTTCTGTGGGGCAGTTTAACAATGGGAAATAACCAGCCTACTTTGCGCGCACACTTTGCCAGCGAATCGGGTCTTTCAGAACCAGAAATCGGGCTGCAGCACGCGTTCGTTAGGTTTGGCAATTGGCAATAAAAGAAGCACGACAAATGTTAGAATTTGTTAGAAGCCAGTTAAGCAAATGAAGTGCAAAAGCAGCCAACAAGAGAAGTTCCAGTATTAGAAGTCCGATTAAAAGTTCCGGCAGTTTTTAATAGTATCCGACACATCGCTGGATGCCAACTACCTAACTATAGATGAATTAAGGACGTTTTTTACGTTTTTTCTATGATTTGGCCTGACTATTATAGTATAGAGTTGTTTTAACTGATCACCGTCCACATTAAACTATCGAAATATAAACAATACCACAATATGTTTCTTGACTTCACTGCCATATTATATTTCCAAAATGGCAACAAACTTGCTAAGTTCCCGGATGTACAGTGCGTGCTAAGTTCCCAAATGTAAAGTGTGCTCACGTTTCCGGTTAAGTTCATTGGATTGAAGCAATGAAGTTGAATTTTCATTGAATTGAAGTTGAATTTTCATTGAATTGAAGTTGAATTTTCATTGAATTGAAGTTGAATTTTCATTGAATTGAAGTTGAATTTTCATTGAATTGAAGTTGAATTTTCGTTGAATTGAAGTTGAATTTTCATTGAATTGAAGTTAAATTTTCTTTGAATTGAAGTTGAATTTTCGTTGAAATTGAATTTAATTATAATTGTCTCCATAATCAGGAATAACTTCCCGGATGTATGGTTGTTATTACCTGCTTCTAAGTGGACTTAATTATGCACAAATATCAAAGCGGCGTTTTTTCCGGTGTTATATATAAAATAAAATAGTCTACCCAATCTGTGCTAGCACGATCTTAAATTGGCATTCCATTGAATACTCAAGAAAGCATTCGCTTTGAAGCTTGATATCAGACATCCGTGAAGTTTTCCCATCGGAAAAACAAGGAAGAGATAGCTTGTCAGGTACCTTTTACATATTTGTTGTGAAATTAAACTGCTTTATATGCTGGGATCTTTGATGTAAACATGGATGCTTCACGCGCGTGATGGAACAAGATATGACATATCAGAATGTCGTGTTGCTTCCTATAACAGTTTACGTTGAAATCTGATATATCCTCTATTTAAATGTATCTATGAATCTATCTGATACATTTTATTTGAAAATGTTAAATTGAATAGTGATTTTTCAATTGCCATAACTTTAAGGGATGTTTCATCCTCTCGAAATAGGAGTAGCGATGAAAAACTGACGGGACGGAATAATTTTCTTGCATGCAGTACACACGAAGCTAATTAATAGCGGTTGTGACTCGTTCTTCGGATTTATTGGTCAGTTTTGGAGTGTTTCAATTGTTATAATGAAGCATTCGTTAAGAATGTACGTTCCTGTGGTGTCGTGATGACTAATTTTTTAGGAAGGATTCGCCGCGAGTCAGTTTATAAAAACGTACACTGTGCCGTACATTCATGTACTGGGATTCTAATTCAGGATCTATATAGGAGTCATGTTATAACACATGCATAAAATGTGTAAATTCTATTGGAATGACTACAATTAGCTTTTATTTAGTAAAAACAAATTCCGAAAAGACACGAGACATCTTGAGAATTCAATATATGATTCAAAACAAGACGCAGGTTGAGACTGTAAATTTTCGACTTTATTTCAAAGTCATCTTCAGAATGAAATACAGTACTTTACAACACACACATATATATATATATATATATATAGAGAGAGAGAGAGAGAGAGAGAGAGAGAGAGAGAGAGAGAGAGAGAGAGAGATATGCAGAGAGAGAGCATCTGTCATGTGGGCGGAAGGAAGGATTATCCAAGCGAAACGAAACATGATAAAGAAATTAGTAAAAACTGAAAATGGATTATTTAGCTATATTTACAACAATGTTTCATATAATTATTAAAATGATTAAGGTAGGAAGGACAGACCCAACAAGTAGAAGAAATTAAGTTGAAGTGTTATGTGAACAGTTGTAGTTCTTTACTAGCTTTAAGTGCAGTGTTAAGAAAAGATTTGTTGTGTTTGATAAGCAGTGCTTCAAGAAAAACAATAATTTTGTAGTTGTTAGATTTGGTAATGTGAAGTATTCTGTAGTTTGAAAACAAGGTTTTTAATAGGAGAAGAGTTGTCAGAAGGCAAAGGAAGATCGTTGAGTTATGTGAACTGGTCTTGTAAAGTAGCTAAGAATTGAGCATGTTCACACCCAGAAAAATGTTGGCCCAGTTGCATGCTCTTTCAAACGTATAGAAAGGCATCTTTGGGTCATGCCAATATAGGTTTTGCCACAACCAGGGCAAGCGACCTCGTATACAAGATTACTACGAGATAAAGGAGGAAGTTTATCTTTGTTGGAAACAAAATAAGCGAGTTTTTTAGTGTCGCAAATAGTGATGAACTTAACCGGTTTAGAAAGAAATCTTGTATTTTATTAAGACATGATTTTAAAACCGCCACGGTTTCCATGATAAGGAATACGAATCCAAATTTTAGGCAACGTATCATCTGTGTCATGATTAACGGCATCGGAAGTAGAATTACCAGTATACTTGGTTTTAAGCTTTTTAATCAAAAAGTTTCTAATGTCATTAGGATAACCATTCCAAGACATAAAAGATTTGATGGTTTCAACTTGATTGTTGAAAAGTGTTTTCGTACTGCAAATTTTAAAACCGCGGTAGAACAGAGATTTTACCCATGCAGTTTTGCGATGAAAAGGCTCAAAACTTTAAAAATGTGAATACTGACCGGTGTGGGTGTCCTTACGATAATTGTTAGTACGATCAACCGAGAATTTTATGTCTAAAAAATGAAGTACGCCATCGGGAAATGTGACAACTGTAAAAATTTAACGGTTAGGAACTATTGGAACTATTGGAAGGTTTTATCAAAACAAGAGTATCATCAACGTGACGTTTATAGAATTTCATAGTACCAACGGCAATCAACTCGGAAACTATTAATCTTTCAAATTCAATTAGAATTATATTAGCTAAGACAGGTCCTAATCTTGAAACCATAGAAACGCCGTCTTTTTGGACATAAATTTGCTCGTCAAAAGAAAAGGCATGCAGTTTTTGTTGCAACAATCCAAAATGAGTTTTTTCAAAGTGCGTTTCTATGGGTTCATCATTAGGACCTGTCTTAGCTAATATAATTTTAACTGATTTTGAAAGATTAATAGTTTCCGAGTTGATTGCCGATGGTACAGTTAACAATCAAATTCCATAAACGTTACGTTGATGATACTTCCAATTTTTCCGCCGTTTTAGCTTAGTTCAATAGTTTCGATCCTAACTTACATTTCCCGATGACGTAGTTTTCATTATCTAGACATAAAAGTCTCGGTTGATGGTACTGACATTTATCCTAAGGACACCCACACCGGTCAGTATATTCACATTTTTCAAGTTTTGAGCCTTTTTATCGCAAAACTGCATGGGTAAAATCTCTGTTCTACCGGGCTTTTAAAATTTGCAGTAGGCTACGAAAACACTTTTCAACCATCAAATCTTTTATGTCTTGGAATGGTTAACTTCTTGATTAAAAAGCTTAAAACCAAGTATACTGGTAATTCTACTTCCAATGCCGTTAATCGTGACACGGATGATATGTTGCCTAAAATTTGGATTCGTATTCCTTATCTCGGAAACCGTGCAGGCGATTTTCTTTTAAAATTATGTCTTAATAAAATACAAAGATTTCTTTCTAAACCGGTTATTAAATAAGTTCATCACTATTTATAACACTAAAAACCTCTCTTATTTTGTCCCAACAAAGATAAATTTCCTCCTTTATCTCGTAGTAATCTTGCATAACAGATCGCTTGCCCTGGTTGTGGCAAAACGTATATCGGCATGACACAAATATGCCTTTCTGTACGTTTGAAAGAGCATGTAACTAGGCTTTCTTCTAGCGCAGTGGGCCAACATTTTTCTGAGTTCAACATGCTCAGTTCTTAGCTACTTTACAAAACCAGTTCACATTACTCAACGATCTTCCTTTGCCTTCTTACAACTCTTCTCCTATTGAAAACCTTGTTTTCAATATAACTACAGAATACTTTATACATTACCCAAATTAACAACTACAACCAGTGGCGTGGTGGCTGGGGGAGGGGGGGCGGGGGGGGGGGCATGCCCCCCCCAGCGATGGTTTCAAGAGGGGCGCCGAAATGCCATTTGCAAAAATGAACCATGTCAGCCACCCGAATCCGTTTTATCTGAGAGAAAAGAGAAAATTGGAGAATGTAACCGGTACTGCTCGCAGGCGCTATTCTTTCACGAAGATCAAACTAGGCGCAAATGGCTTTCATACTCGCTAAGTAAGGATTGTCTATTCTGCCTCCCATGTCTCCTATTTTCAGATGAATGTTCAAGAGGCGAAAACACGCGCCACACCAAGCAAATACTTTTACGAATGCTGGGTACTCGAACTGGAAGAAGCAGTACAGTATTATCACAAAGCACGAAAAGTTCGAAAGTCATATAAATGCCAAGATTGCTCAAGTTATCTTTTTGCAAGGACGATCAATCGATTCGTGCTTGAAGCAACAAGAATATAGACCGAAATTTTGCGTCGGAAGAAAGAAGTCGTGGCAAACCGCAGCCATTATGAAACGTGTTGTCGAGTCTGTCGACACTGTTGTACATTTGGGAAAGCAGGGACTTGCTTCCAGAGGGCATCGAGAATCGCTAATTGATGACCCAAAAGCAAACAAAGGAAATTTTCTAGAGTCGCTGAATTACCTGTCAACCTTATGATATAATAACTGCGAATCATCTTGAAAAGGTTAGAAATCAACAAGCTATATCGAGAAGAAAGGGCGGGAAAAAAGGTGCCAAAGGACGGGGTTCGAAACTAACTTTCCTCAGCAACGATACGCAGAATAATGTGATCAAAATTATTGGAAGAGAAATCGCCTCGCAAATTGTCAAAGAAATCGGTAATTGCAGAGCATGGGCATTAATAGCCGACACCACACCGGATGTCAGTCACCACGAGCAGCTTAGTATTTGTGCAAGGATCGTTAATCGTAATGGAAAATGCTCCGAGCATCTTTTGTCTTGCAAAAGAGCTTCCGGTACAAGAGCAATGGAACTATACAATCTAATCTCACAAACACT